AAAACTCGCCTTTCTTTTTTTGGGAAATTATTTCTGCTATTGCAATATATGTAATAAAATTACCCGCATGGAAAACTTGCCCTTTTTCTTGTGGCGAATTACTTCTGCTATTGCAATATATGTAATAAAATTACCCGCATGGAAAACTTGCCCCTTTTCTTGTGGCGAATTACTTCTGCTATTGCAATATATGTAATAAAATTACCCGCATGGAAAACTTGCCCTTCTTCTTGTGGTGAATTACTTCTCCTATTGCAATATAGGTAATAATATTACCTGCATGGAAAACTTGTTGTTCTTCTTGGGGCGAATTACTCCTGCTATTGCAATCTATGTAATAAAATTACCCGCGTCGAAAACTCGCCTGTTTCTTTTTTTTAGGCAATCATTTCTGCTTTTGCAATATATGTAATAAAATTACCCGCGTCGAAAACTCGCCTTTTTTCTTTTTTGGAATTGTTTCTGGTATAGCAATCTATGTAATAAAATTGAAGGGGAGGAATATCCTTTCCCGGATTTTCTTCTTGACTAGGCATTGCCACTGTCATTTCCGAAACAATATTAATCCGGTCTAACATATTCCTTTTTGTTGGTTGGCTAACTATCTGTTGTGATTAGGATTTTCTGAGCAATATTAAACAGATATATCATCTTTTTTTGTCGTTTGTTTGAAATATTTTCCGTGCTGTAAATTGTCATAAGAAAATTAACAGGAGGAATCAGTTGTTCTTTAGGTGGGAGTCAATTTATTCCTTACCTATAAATTTCATGGAGAAATTTCGTCGGTTGAAAACTCCTTCGTCCTCCTTCCTCCCAAATATTCCCAGTCTTCAACATCTTATCAGTAAAATTCGAATGGGAAATACTACTGCATATCGGATCTTCCAGTACTAAATAATCCGCCAGTGGCGGAGGTGTGGAATAACATCAGACGGTCAGAACAGTCTTTCTCATTTCACTAGGATAATAGTTCCTGATACTACTCATTTTTTTTTGTTGTAGTTCAAGTGTTTGGGTTTACTTCGATTTATCATAATATTTAGACAGGCAGCGCCTAATCTCTTATTTATTAATTCACCCTAAAAATATACCCCTGGTCATGGACGACACCGCAGCACAAGCATATTAATAATGAGTGATGACGTAATCTATTCCATCTGATAAATGATGAAATTTTCTTCGGGGTGTACCCCCTATATGGTTGTAGTCTTATAATCACCTTATCAGACAGAAAGTAAATGGGGGGACTTGGTTGATCTTACTATAAAAAAAGACAGCCTTTTAGGGGGGGTTTCCTCTTCTCTGATATGACAAATCAAAACAAGATGATAAAACAACGATTTGGCTAATTAAATATTCCGAGGGGTTCTTCTGGCGGGGGAAGGACGCCAGTGCTACCACTTCCTCCATTGAATTCACATCATAACACACAAGATATTAAAGAAGACCTACTTATTAGACCCATTCAGGAATAAGTTCAGAGTAGACAAAAACGTCTTCTTAAACATATTCATAGGAAGTTCCCTAGTCTCATCTATGATTAGTGTTGTGACAATCTCAGCTGATTAACAATCAGAGTATAGGAGCTCCGCTAATACTTGACGTAGGAATCCACTAATAAAATGGAATTTGATACTAATATTAAGACAATGTACTTCTATGCAGCACTTATCTGTAACAATAAACTACAATTTTTTTGAAAAATAACCTATCTGTTAAGGAGAATCCAACAGACGAGTTAATTTCCTGCTTGTGGTGAGACTAAAAAGAATGGCTGACTTAATCTTTTAGAGCAATCTACTAAATTGGGTCCGGATTCTTCGCTAATGTCATCTTTTAGGGCTCAACCCTAAAGGTATGCCAACAACTCTAAAGTCAACAGCTAATTATAACCCCTAAGCCGCTATAGAAAATCCTTGATCTTTCTCTTTTTATTAGAGAGGCCAGTTCCTTATTCTTAAATTTGATATCTTAAAGTTGGGAAGTCCTAATGCGTGGAGTTATTGTGACAGAGTTGATACCCTGAGGTTCATCCTTAAGAGTTTACCCCACGAAATAAGTACTGAATTTTCTCTTTGCTCCTTGACTCGCTGTGTAGGGGCTATACTTCACTTAGCCGCTTCAATTCCCGTATAGCTAATAACCCCCCTTCCTGACTTGTTCCTGGGAAAGTTTTCCCCAACTTTAGGAAAATTTCGCTGTTTCTTTCTGCTACTCTTGCTTCTACTGCTTCTTTTAAAATAGATTAATACGGAAAGTCCCAAGAGGGATAATATTATTCCAGATACTGATATATATACAATAAGTGATTTGTTTCCTGTTTCCAGCTCCCTAGCTAGTGCTTCGGTCCTTTTTTCCATTTCCTCTGTAAAAACCCTGGTTTCCTCATTAATCTTCTGTTCTCTTTGTTGGTCCTGTTCTTCTGCCTTCAGTTTGGCTATAAGATCTTGTACTCGTGAACCTACAAATAAAGACATTGGTCAAGTACTTATGATATTAAGCTTGGGTTCCTTGGTGTTTATCCTTAACTCCTCATCATTTCGGACGGCTGATGATCCTGACACTTGGTGGGGTAGAGGTCATGGTCCTTAGGGCTCTAATATCGAAACTCTTACTAGTCATGGTTTCCTCATCTCCTCCCATCATTTCACATCCTAGACCCTTAGTATACACGCAACTATCTTCATATCTCTTCTCTTGATCCTCGGTTCTAGTACATTGCACTCCTGTTATCTGGAAATTCATTTTATCCAACAATTTACCTATTTGTCGACTCAATGACTCCCCATTCTTTATCTTCAGCCAGCCGCCTCCTTCTCTGGCTCCTTTATTCAGAAACCACTCATCCATTATTTTTTTCTCCACCTTGCTTCCGCCCCATTCTTGTAGCTCTTTACTTATTTGCTGACAAATCTCACTCCCTTTGCTTCTTGCCTCTTCCACCTTCGAACTAGTATAAGCACTATACACTTTAATCATGATACTCATTACATCTATACAGCCCTGGAAGGTACGATGTTTCTCCTGTTGCAGATATAAGGGGGAGTCACTAGTCATAGTGGTCCAGCTCTCCTTAGCATTATCTATTGGACACTTCTTAAGGATCCTTGTACCATAGGGCTCTCCCAGATCTGTTACTTCGCATGTAGTCTCCCCCCACTGCGTGCCATTTCCTTGCCCTGGGGACAAATTTGACATCCATCCCTCCATAGCTTTACAGACCATTATGGCCCTCACCCTTATATGTTTCTGCCCCATCTGGGCTCCAGAGTCACCGCTTGGCCCCCTTTCATCTGGTATCCTGATGTTAGTTGGTCTTCCTCCTGTGTTAAGGTCACTGAGTTTGAAACTTCCTGACTCCAGAGTAAGCGATTCGTTTCTGGATTCATTGCTCTCCCAGAGATTTTTTATATATTGGCCTAAGCTTATACCCATCTCTTAGGGTCGGGGGCCTGTTCCGCCCTATAACCGAGGAACTTATGGCGGTTTCTAGGGTCCCTCTTTCAGACAGGCTTATCTTGTCTTGCTAGAGTCTTAGGACTGTTGTTGTCTATTTGTATTTGGGCGTAAGGCGGCGTTTTCCTTTTAGGAGATGTGTTCTTCAGATGATTGTCCCTGGTTTGTCTGTTTTGAGGATCTTTGACTCACGTCCCTGGATTCTCGAATTTCATTGATACAGACTCTAGGGATTAGATTGCTATTCATAGCATTCCTGCATTGGTCACATGAAGGTACAGTATCCATGGACCTACTTGATTCCTTGGGGAAGTTGTTGCTGTATTGTTCATTTTCACTCGCAGCTTTTTAGCATAGTGATTAGCGCATTACTTTTCTCTCTGGTATCAGAGACTCCTCCTACGAGGTTGTGAAAAGAGCCAGGACACTCACTTTCTTTTTTTCTTATTTCTGGATCAGCCTTGGCTGTATTAATACTTTCCTCAAGGCTCATCTAATAAGGTACTCGTGGAATCAGGCCTGCGACTGTTATAAGAGAGATCTCGGAGTTTTTATCCATCCCCTCGATTTCCTCCATAAGAAAATTTTTCCTCCCACTTGGGATGAGATAAAATTTCTGTATGGTTCTGATCCTTTCTTATACCCTCCAGGCCGCCTGCGCCGTTATTTTTCTTAATTTTCTGCCTCGTCCGTAAACTGGCTTCGGTTCGCTGGTGTATGTGGGGCGGTTGTGTTTATATTATCCTCCCCGTAACTCATATTGAGACCTAGATCCTAATGCCACTGATCTATTGCTCCCCGTTTCTGCTCCAGATGAAGGCTCTGCATTCCTGGGGTCCTTGGAGAGTTGTGAATTTTGACAGATTCCCTTTGTTATCTTGTTCTATGCCTTCTCTTGAGTTCATACTCCTAAACTTTTCCTGCCGAGGATTTGGACGTGATACTCGGATTTGTGCCTCGGGCTAAAGGCTTCAGCTTCTCCTGCCAAGATTGCGGTGGACGGGATCCTGATTTTGTTCAATGCACCATGAGCTCATGTTTTTCCTATTCAGTCCCGGCGTGAGGAAGTCCCTACAGAACGCTCAACCAGAATGATCTGGGGCCAGTTTTATCCTGTAGATGCCTAACAGGATTACCTTGAGTATTCATTCCGCCACGGTTAACTTAGCCTTCTTTTTGCTTCGTTCCTGACTATATGGAGGCATTCGTAACCATTAGCCTGCTTATCGTGGGGGGTTGGGCCAAGAATTGGACCCGGGAGTGTTTTCCTAGATGGGGATTTGGTTTAATATCATTTTTTATTTTTCCTACTTTCTAATTCTTTCCTTTTTTCAGATGCTTCCTTTTTTATAGGATCTAAGAGGAGTTTCCTTGGGAGGGCCCATACTTCCAGCCACGATCCCCCCTCTCTCATGCCCCTTTACTTGGTCTCTATTAATCGCTCCTCCTGGTTGGGACTCTTGTCCGCGCCTGGAGGTTGCCTCAATGATTTGATCTGGTTTCTCCTAGAATCTTCCTCCTATTTTCCGTTGCAAACAGGAGGGTTTGAGAATAGAAAGTTCATTTGTCCCAAATTCTTTACGTGGCTTTTTGTTTTTAGGCTCCTCTTGTTGATATATATTCTCAGTCCTTTACTTCACTGTGGTTCATCGTCGCTATCTGTTTCCGGGGGTTTTGTTCTGGCACTTGAGTTTACCTCGTCAGTTGGGGATTTGTTCCCTGCGTGGGCATTTTTTTGGGTTGGTGGAGTCAGCACCTGTTGTTGAATTTTATTAGTTCACACCTTCAGATTCGGACACTTCAGATAACTCTTAGTATCTCCTCTTCCGGTTTCCTTCTAGGGTCCTCTGCGTTTGACTGATCCTAATGCTTTGACTTATAGGGGGGGACATCCCTTTTGCGAATCTTCGTGGGTTTGTCTCCATCACTTCGTTAATATCTAACTTCTCTTTTTCTTTAGTTCTTCTACTGCCCTGGTACTACTCTTCAATGTTAGTCCTCCGTACCTCTGTTTGCATGTGGCTGGGTGGTTCTTTGCTCATACTCTCGCTTGTGCTTACTTTTACTTATTATGGTTTCGGCTCGCTTCGGGTGCTTTTGTCTGTATAGAGTTCGGTTGTCAGGAGTTGCTTGATGGTCGTTTTGTTTCTTATACTATTATATCTCCTTCTTAGCTTACTCGGTTGCCTCTGATGTTCTGGTTCCTAGTTTTCCTTTAGTCTTGCTCGGGTCTTTATTTTTTTCAGGTGTCTCGTAGGTTAAACGGCTTCTTTTCTATTTTAGTTCTCTCTTTTGAGTATATTCTACATATTTGGCACGCTGTTCTATTGTAAACAAGTTAGTCTCTTGTGCTATCAGTTTCTCGGTGCTACTGGCTCTTGCCACTTTATTCCTTTGGTCTTTTCAGCCGGTCGTTCCATGTGTTGCAGGCTAGTTCTCCTCTTCTGCCTCCAGGGGTTTCATTAAGTTTCGTCTATACTGTTATTTGTCCTGACACTTTGCTTGTAGTCGCGTTCTTTGGTTCGGCTTGTCCCCTGTTTTCTTGTCCGTTGGGATTTTCCCTTGGCTTTTAGGTATTAGCTGGCTTAATCTCTCCCAAGTGATATGCCTGGTTTTTTCAGTTTCCTGTTCTGTAGTAACGCCTTTGCCTGAGTGCTCCCTTCAGTGCTTCCTTTTGGGTTTTATATCGCTCCTTTTTCCCTATACTCCTGGTTTGGTTGTTGTTCTGGGATTTGATTGCTTCAATCACTTTTCCTGCATGTGTTAATCTTACTGACCAATCCATCTTCACTTGGGCTCTTGTTAAGGCTAACTCACTACTAGGCACGCTGTACCCGTGGGCCGGGTAGGATTTTCTTGTTCCTCTATTCTTTCCTCATAAGCTGGCTCTGGCCTGGCTCCTTCTCTGTTCTACAGTTAGCTACTGAATCCTCGTTGCCAATAATACGGCTATTATGGACTGTCTTCCCCACCCCCCCTTCCATTCCCGTTTTGTTTTCTCTGTTGCCCCTATTTCTATTTAACTTTTTCTATTCCTTATGAGTTAGGTATCTCCCCTGCTCATCTTTGCAGTTGTTTCTGTCCTGTTGTCTTTTGTTTCTTTATATTATATGTCTGGGTTTTTCTCTTGTAGTTTCATGAATTACTTTACCTGCTGCATTCACTAATTCTCTTCTATATATATATTTCTTTATATCATTTCATAACCGCCATCTGCGTCGTTGTTCTACTTTGTCTTATTAATGTGTGTTATGCTATCGGTATTTACCCTTTCTTATTAATTTTCTAAGTACTTCATATAGGTCTTATGGAATTCGGGGTAACCGTTCCTGTTATATATACCTATCCTTATTCCTTCCACACTTCTCGGGTGTTGCTGTTTCTGACTTCTTTTTTGTATATATACTAGTATTATTCTTAGTCCATCTTTACTTTTACGTGTTTTGTTTTTTGGTCCCCTGTTTAGTCTGTTAAGAATATATAATCCTAATTATGGTTTTTTCTTCCACCCCGCTTGGATCCCTGGATGCAAGGATATTCCCATTTTCCCCCACGGCTGGATTTTTATGATTAATTCTCCTTCGCCCATTTATCCGTGCCTCTTTCCTTGGCACTGTATTGCTTCTTGTGTTGTATCCCTTTGGCATGTCATAATATATGATTGTATATTCCTCATACGGCTTATTCCTGTAGAAGCATACTTGTCGTAAAATTCGGATATTTTCTTCCTGTTTCTGTTGTGTTCTCCTTTATTTCTTGTCTCCCCCTTTTGCACTTTTGCCTTCCTTGTTTTTCTTTATTAATCATTATATACTGATTATCCTAAACATCTCCCTATTATTTTCATCTCCATAGTTGTGCTTCGTTCATAGGCCTTATTATACCTGTTCCAGCGTCGATATTTCCTCCCTGTGTTGGTCCTTGGTAGCTCCCCCTACTTGCCTTTGTTGTCTTTTCCAGTATTCCTTCTGGCTTACACTAGCCCTTTCTATTTATGGGCGCGTACTGCCTAATCTATTTTATTATGGAGCAGATTGCATATTCCTTTTCTCCCTCCTTCTGTTCTTTGGTTCCTCTGTGGGGGGTGTCTGTTCCTCCTATAATATACACTATGTCCTATCAGTAAATTCCTAACCATCATATGATGCTCCTCCGCTATGATATATGCCCCCGCTTATTTACTGCTTAGTACGTCAGGAGAGCTGTTTCTATATCATCCCTCAGGATATGCTCTATAACAAAGAGAATATCCTAAAAGCCACAACATCCTGTATCGAGTGCCTCAAACAGTTATTTTTCCGCGATTTGGAGGTTAAATATATATTAGGATAAAATATCGAAACATAAGGAGTTGTCTGCTCATTCATATGATCCCCAAAAGAACTTACCAATATTTCTGGACATCCCTCTTAATTAATCAGGTGCAATAACACATAATACCTTTATAAAACTATTTGACTTATTATTATGGGATAGATGTGTTGGATTAGGCCTTAGATATCCATATAGCATTACTCTTAAAACTCATATAAGAACCATATCACTGCCAGAAGGATCATGTATTTATTGACTTTTTCTCATTTTTCATAAGAATCTCATAACTCTATGCTGGTGTAAGACTCCTTTTTAGAACATGCCTTTATGTCAATAGGGGAATATATGCATCGTATATGCCTATATTCCCTTATGCATAAAAGGAGTTATGAATACCACTTAACATTCTACATCCTCCTGTGGTGAATAAGGAGACGCCCGTTATAGCATCCTCTATAGTCTTAGAGACGGACAAAAATGAAGTTATTGTACGACTTATTATACTCCATGGACTCAGCACAGATTCAAGATATTATCTTTTTTTAGTCTTTTGTTTATATGTTAGAAAACATGAAACCCTCGTTTCCATATATCTATCTTTTCAGAGGGAAAGATTTGCTGCTCACATTATTCCTTATGTGCCACCCCTACTGTGTTTCTGGGTTCTATGCTTTGGGTGTAGTGTCTAATCTTCATCCCCCGAGCATCTTTCCTTGTATCCTCTCTTCTCGTGTTCTCTCTTCTTTATGTATTAATTATGTACCTCTTCTTCTAGGCATTTCGAGTTCGATCGTCATGTTGATATCTCCACTGATTCGTGGGGTATTTATATGGTCTTACATATATCTCTTTTCGTTTCTTGAAGTAGATAATTTTCTCAAATATGTCAGCGGCATTCGTATCTACATTCTATTATAGTCATCCGCTCCTATATGGTCGCTCCCCGCCTTTTAGATTAATGATTCTTTAATATGTTATGTGTATTCTTATTCTTAGGCTCATTTTATCCCCTTCCCCGTTCTAGGTTATTATTATTCCTAACTCTCCACGAGAAACAGCCCGCTGTATATAGTACTATTCCTTCTATAATTTCCTATTCCTGCCTAGGGTATAACAAGTCTAATCTTTCATTTTACATAATTGTTATATTTTAATAGTACCCCATCGATTTCGAGTCGT